TGTGTGTGTGTGTAATATATATTATATATATACATATATATAATATATACATACATACACATATATATACACATATATATACATATATACAATATCTATCTATCTATCTATCTATATACACGTATATATCTGGGATTTTTGTTCTATCCCCTCATCCCTATTTTCCCCCCAGAATTTTAACTTCTATTCAAAAGGATCTCTTTCCTTTTCTCATTCAAAGGTCAGACTTTTTCTCCCCAAGATGGACAAGAGGCAGTCAAGTCCCATTGCCAATTCCAGGAATAATGTCTTTCTGGTCAAGAAGAAAAGTTAGTTGAGGGGCTTTTTTGGTGAATTCTGTTTTCTTTTAGTTCATGTTAGCCACATATCTCAGAGAACTGCAGTCTTTTCTCTTTAGTTTACTTGAGAACAAAAGTTCTGTCAGAAATAGTCCTGAAACCACCTGAGCCGTTCTTTCATATCTTGAAAAAATAGTTTATGGGGACACTGAAAGACATTGATGTTATCTTTTTAATATTCTGAGGAATAATCCTATTAGACAAGAAACAAGGGAAACTGTTATGCCCACAAGGCAGAATTATCCCAAACTGATTGGGAGAGATCAGGTTACCCTGCAAAACCCTCATTGTGTGTTGGTTCTATCTCTCCATCAAGGGCTTGGTGAATGAGCAATATTTGTGGATTCTGCCCATCTCTCTTAGCAAACTTTGTTCTATGGAATTAGATACAACTCTGACAAATTAGAAATGTCCCCCGCCTTTGCCTCACTGTCCCCATGTAGTATAGTCTGCTGATTGTGCCCTGGCCTTCTGAAGTCTTGGCGTGTCAGATCCATCAAAAGCAGCCCTTCCACAAGGCTACACTTTTTAATAAGCCACTCTGTCAGCACTGGGTTCCTTAGGTCTTCCAACCTCTCCTTAATCTTTGGGACGTGATGACTTTCCTTGCTATTTCATTTGTGGAAGAAGTCCCGGCCCAGAGGAAGAACTACATCTCTGTTTACAGTGTTATGTGCAACAAAATTAACCTTGGAGCTGAAATGTAAAATAGAAAGGATCACATTTTAGCCTTCTCGAGAACAAGGGGTGGGGATTAACGCATGAGCACCCACACGCGAATGCTTGCCCAACACGTACAACCACAACTTTTCATTTTTTTTTCCTGCTGCTCCTTAGCAGCAGTTATCATGCCTTCTTCCCCCTACCCCAATGGATAGCACTGAGAAGGGACCTCTCATTTTCTTGATTCTTGCCCTAACCCATGTCGCCTATCACCACCCACCTCTCATTTAATAGATGAAAAACAAATGAATGACTAATAAACATGCCTGAGGAAATTTGGAGAGACATTGGGTTATTCTGCTCCTTAGGAAGTCTTTGGCTCCAGAGGAGTAGAAGGACTACCTTAGGTCAGGAAAGGAACCTTGAGTAGAAAGTTTGGCTCCCAGAAGAACAAGTCAAATCTCATTTGAGTAGAGCAGCAGGGATAACACCATGGGGGTGGGCAAGACACAGTTCCTCGAAATCCCAGGATAAAGGCACTCCTGAGGAGGCTACCCTAAAGGATGGGGACATCTTCAGTCATTCTGATGTGCATCTGGCCACTGGGTGCAGATGGCTCCAGAGGAGAAAGTGAGGATGGTGACTTTGCACAGCCCTCCCTCCCTTAAATCCAATTTAGTTGCATGTCATGACATCACCTCCCTGATGTCACGGTCCTCTTCAAGTACAAAGGACAAACAACAATAAACCACAACCCTAAGGGGTACAAGAATCATAAGGTGGGGCACTATTTTTAATTTTTTTAACTAAATTAATTTTTTTGTTACATTTTAAGTTCAAATTGTCTCCTCTCTCCCTTCTTCTCCACTCCTCACTAAAGTAAGCCACCATTTGACACAGATGGAGATATCTATCTATCTATCTATCTATCTATCTATCTATCTATCTATCTATCCATCTATGTCTCTCTGTCTATGTAAACCCATACTATGCATCTTTCTTCATATATCCTTTGTATTTGATTTGAGTATTTATAATACTCAATAAACCCCTGTGTGTGTAGGTATAGCCCCTTCTGAGGTGCGAAATGAGGAGAAATGGCCTCAACATAGATTCTGTCCTTGGCCTCTTAGAAATATTTCTGAAGGAAAAGACCATTTTTGAGGGTTTGCTTCTTTTCCCTCATCCCCCAATCTCATGGACAATTTTGCACTGGTTATCAGTTTTACATTTGGTATCAGAAATTCCTTAGGTAGGAATATTGACATGTGGCTCTTCTGGTACACAGTTTCTTATGTGGTGGAGTCATCACACTAAAATGCAGTGCTCAAAAAGACTTTAATTCAGAAAGCATTTGTTTAGCTTCTCTGATGTAGCTCGGCATTCAGAAACAAAAACAAATCAGTTTTTACCCTCAAGGAGCTTACATTCGACAAGCACACATATACAAAGTATTAATGATTGTTTTGGAGGAAGAGCCAGCAACTGAGAGGGATCAGAAAGGTCTCATGTAGGAGCTAACACTTAAGCCTACTCTTAAATGATCTACAGATTCCACGAGTTAGATATGAGAAGAGATAGAATTCCAAGCAAGGGGAACAGCTTTTACAAAGGCATGGAGGGGAGATCAATCAATTAATCAATGTGCAGGTATTTATTAAATTCTGCCTATGTGGCAGGCACTATCCTGGCACTGGGGATACAAAGCTAAATATAAAAGGGTCCCAGACCTCAAGGAGCTTACATCAATTACATAAAGACATTAGGAGAAACATACAATCATCTAAGTTATATACATAATAAATACAAGGTAATTTTGGAGGGGAGGACACTAACAACTGCTCAGGCTTTAAGTTGAACATGGAGCTTGAGCTGAGTTTTGAAGGAAACAAAGGATTTTTAAGAGGGGGATTTTAGATGAGGATTGAGTACATAGGAGCCTTAAGGGATGGTCTGCACAAAGGCATAGAGATAGGAGATAGAATGTTGTGTATGAGGAAAATCAAGAAAGCCAGTATGGCTGGACCACAGAATGTAGGAAGGGAAAAAATACAACAGATTGGACAAATAGGTTGGGGGCTGGTTTTGAATGACTATAAAACCAAACAGAAGATGTTATTCAACAAATGTCAGGTATCAGGGAGAGACCAAGATGGAGGAGGACTGAGAAAAGGCTTTGGATTTGCAAAAGAGGGATCTGGTGTCATCAGGAATTTTTATCCAAAGAGGCAGCATAGCCACAGGAAAGATCACTGGACTTGTTGTTAGAAGAATTGTGTCCTCGTTACTGCTATTAACTTTGTGACCTCAGACAAATTATTTTACCTCACTTACATACAATGTCCTTGTCTTTAAAATATGATGGCCAGCACACCAAATTTCTCAGGTTCTTTCAGCTCTAAAATCCTGTGAATCTATGAAACCTACTTATGGATGACCCCAACTCTTCCTTCTTTGAATTGCCAAAATGAGTGTGGGCTTTCAGTGTCCAAGAATTTGTCTTTGCCCCAGAAATACATCGTGAGAACACTGGGTCTTCCACAAGCCATTTTGAAGTTTCAGTATTTTGACCCCAAGTTTCTTCTCTAGGGTATTTCTTATCTGCCTCCTTGGCTTTTTGGAATTGAATTATTTGCTAAACCCATTCTCATTCTTCTTGGCCTTTTGGATTTTGCTGCCTTTCATTGCATTTTATGCTGTTTTCACTTTCTACTTAAAAAAAAATAGGCAGAACAAAATAAAGCAGTGTGCCAGCAGAGAGGGCTTTTTCCATTTAGGCTGTGGAAGCCGCCGTAACAATTACATAGAAGAGAAAAGGGACTTTATTGTAGGTGTAAAGTTGAGGCTACGCAAAGCAGACAAACAACCATGTCAGAGGCCTAGGAAATTGTGCTCTAGTGATCAAAGGATCAGTGGGCATGAAAAGACATTGTGAGTTTGAATGCTGGAGTTTCACCATTACCTGCTCACTCCTTCCCCCCTCCCCCACTCCTTCTCAGCTCCCTTCCTGCCCCTCCCCTCCCTGCTTTGGCTTTGTGCTGTTTGTCTCCTGACTTTTTGGAACAAAATTATTGTGACTTGGGTGACTAAACCACCCCTTGTCCTTCTTAACTCCTTTGATTTTTTTGTTGTTTTTCATTGAATGCTGTAAATTATTTCTGTGTGCTTAGAGTTTTGCATTTAAAAGTCCTTTATAAAGTAATAATAATAGCTCACTCGTATACAAAATACTTTGTACATATGATCTGATATGACAAAAAAATTTGATTCTACTATTTATCATTAGAAAGTGATTAGTTTATTTAACTTTATTGAATCTTTTAAAAGAATATCAACATTGCATGTCTGTACAAATAACTAAATACCCCTAGTAATTTAAATTATATTTAAATTAGCTAATTTTAACACATGGAATATTTCAGTCACTCCCCAGAATCTTTTGTCTGTTCATTCTCCTTTACTTTTTTTCCCTCACATAATTTAGTTCGTGGTCCTTCTTCTATTTCTACTATTTTCTCTTTACCTTCTTTTCTGGATTTTTCTGGATTCCTTGTACTTGTCTTCATTGCATTATTGTATTCAGTTATATTACTGGATGACAGTTATTTAACCATTCCTACACTATTAGCTATTAAGGTTACTTCCATTTTTTTTATGAGTACATAGAATGTTGCTATGAAAAGATTTAAGCACATAGTTGTGTTGTGGTTTTTTAAATAACATTTCAAAGTTACATTACCATTATTAGAATTATTGGTTCAAAAGACATGATGATTTTTGTGATGTTTTCTGTGTATCACCATATTATTCTTCATCTTTTCCCCCAAGCTTTCCCTTCTTTCTTCTTTTAATGCTGTTGAAGATGCCACAATTCTCCCAGTCACCCAGATTCACATGCCATGCTTTATTCCTCATTGCATCCCCCCATGTCCAACCAGTTGGCATGTCCTGTCAATTCTACCTTTTTAATATCTCTCATTTTTTTCTCCCTTCTCTGAGATTGATACTATCCCCATGCAAGCCATCATCACCTTGCACCTGGACTATGATTGCAGTTGTCTTCTGGTTGGTCTCCCTGCTTCAAGTCTCTCCTGACTCCAGTCCACTCTCCACGTCAAATTGATCCTTCTTTCTAAAGATCAGGTATGATCATCTCACCCTCCTCACCCATTCAACAAACTTCAGTTGTTCCCTATCTCCTCCAGGGCCAAATATAAAATCCTCTATTGGCATTCAATTTCATGACCATCATCATAACCTATCTCTTTCTACCTTTCCAGTCTTTCTAAACTTTATTCCTAACCTAAAAAAAATCAGAGATCCAGTGACATCAGCTTCCTTTCTGTTCCTCACATAAGATACTCTATCTCCTGTGCATTTTCACTGGCTGTGCCCCAAGCTTGGAATTTTCTCTTCCTCATGTCCAACCCCTGAGCTCCCTGGCTTCCTTCAGGTGCCAGCTAAAATCCCACTTTCCCAAAGAAGCCTTTACAATGCCCCTTAATGCTAATACCTTTGCTCTATTGACTATTTCCAGTTTGTTCTATAATATCTTGCTTCACAAAATTGTCGGCATGTTGTCTTCCCTATTATACTGTGAGCTCTTTTAGAATAAAGATAATTTTTTGCCTGACTTTGTATCCCCAGTGCTCAGTACAGTGCCTGGAACACATTAGGTGCTTAACAAAATCTTGTTGGTGATTGACTGATTCCAATTCCACGGGTAATGAATGTATTGCAACCAATATTGAGTTTCATCAGTTTTAATGATTTTTGACAATTTTATTGGTGTGAAGTGGTACCTCAATGTTGTTTTTATTTGATTCTCTTTGATTTTAGAAAGGTTGAGCATTTTTCAAGTGATTATTAACAATTTGTATTTCCTCTTTTTAAAAAAAAGTATTTTAAAATTGATGCCTTTTGCTTTCACATCAGATTCATTTCCAAATATATTCTCCCCCTCCCTCCAACCAATGAATCATTCCTTGTAGCAAAGATTTAAAAAGTGTGTGTGTGGGGAGGCATTTCAGTCAAACACCAACAGTGTCAGTCAGTGTGATCGACATTCTACACCAATAGTACTGCCATCTCTGCAGTGAAGGGAGTTAGGTGTACTACACTCTTCTTGGAGGCCAGACTTAGTCATTATAATTTTTTGTGTTTTCCCATTTGAAAATAATCTGTTCGTGTTCTTTTATCATTGCTTTATTGTTGACTAGAGTTATCACTGTGGCTTTTAAAATAGCTCCTTGTATATTTTGGATGTTGTGAGAAAGAACTTTAATGACAAATCATGTACTTCTGATAGAGTGTGTCAACATTGTGCATGCAGTATTACGTTAGACTGTAGAATGGTCTTGGGCCAATGGGCTTTGGGTGAAACAGCATTTTGTAGTGTAAAGAACACTCAGTGTAGAATGTTGGAAAGGGGGGGTGAGGTTATGGTTCTGCTATTTGCTAGCTATGTGATCTCAGGCAAGTTGCTTCATTTCACTTTGTTCATTTCTAAAAGGGGGCTAATAATATGGTACAGTAGAAAGAAAAAAAATGACTTGAGTTGAAGGAACCACATTCATATCCCATCTCTGCCACATATTACCTGTACAACCTTGGACTATCTGAGCCTGGGTTTCTTCATCATTAAAATAAGAGTGTCAGGCTAATTGACTTCTAAGGTTCCTTCCATTTCTAAATGCATATCTTATGATTTAAACCTACCTTATTTGCCTATACAGAGATTTAACTAAGATGATAGAGCTTAAAATATTAAGAAAGGTAAAAGAGTTATATAAGTATATAACACTACCATCTTCAGTGGAATGTATATTCAAATGTACTTTTACATTTTTGTCCTCATTTCAGTGTGTATCAAAACTTGCCTTTTCTCTATACACTGTCTGCATAGGCAATTCTTTCCTTCCTCTATTTGAAAAAAAAATTTACCCTCATTTTCATTGACTCTTGGTGTAATGAAGAGTGCCTTAAGTCATTGGAGTCTATGAAACAAAGAATATAAGACATGTGATGAAAACATTCACCTGGATTTCTCCAAGCATGGTCAACTTTTTCATCTATAAAACAGAGGGAAAGAGGTGGGATTAGCCACTCAGCATCATGAGAGTGACTTTCAGGGATAAGAAAATCTTTATTTAAAACATTACTATTAGCTCCTCAGGGGAGCTAGGTAGCACAATGGATAGAGCATGCTGAGGTGGAGTCAGGAAGAACTTAGTTCAAATTTGGCCTCAGAAACTTACTAGCTGTGTGACCCTGGACAAGTCACTTAACACTATATGCTTAAGGTTTCCTCATCTGTAAAATGAGCTGGTGAAGGAAACAGCAAACCACTCCAGTGTCTTTGCCAAGAAAACCCCAAATGGAGTCCCAAAGAGTCGAACATGACTGAAACAACTGAACAACAATGGATTTGTTGATCATCCTTTGAATGTGTTCTGTTGGAATTCAGCTTTCTGGGCAAAGCAATTTTTCTCTTTGCAAAGTTAATTTAAAAAAACAGTGGCCAAGGTTTTTACTTTAAAGAAAAGAGAACATAGCAACCAAAAGAACAACAGTAACTAAATACATTATTTGAATTGTTTCTGGAAATGGTGAATAAATCTGTAGAAGTAAGTACATATGTCCTCCAATTGCCATGACCACTGTTACTAAGAATGACCTTTGGGAAAGAAGATGGGATCCCCCCCCCCATACACACAGCATCTAATAGGTTAAAATCAATTTTATAAATAGCTATAGCTTATTCATCAGGAAGAAGAAATATATGAACTAATTTTATATGCCAGACTTACAGTATATAATTAAACCAAAGGAAACTACATTAGGTTAATATGGATAACTAGAATTCAATCCACAAAAACAAGGAAACTGAGTTAAAGGCAGAATCTCTGACCTCAACTCAACCTGTTCCATTAGCAGACTGAGGAAGACCAAAGTGCATTCTGTGTTATAAAACATAAATGTTACTGAAACAAGATGATGCAAAAGGAAGTGAAAATAGATGACCTTGGCTTTCACTTTGACCCCTGCTTTGTGAGTTTTTTTAAAGGTAGAGATTAAAACAAAAAAAAACCCTTTCTTTTACTCAGAAGAGGGACAAAATTTCTCCAGCTACAAAATATATTTGATGAGAATTAACTGTTATAACTAGGCAAGTAATAATATGTTTTGTAGTTTATAAGAGTATTCTACTTTGATATATTTCTTTCCACATCTGGTTTGGTGATGATACATTTGAATTGTCTGGATGATATTTTATGCTTTTAGATTTTTTTTTGTTAAAAAAGCAAAAATGTGTAGCATAAAATATTTGAAATATAAAAATATAACATACTTTTAAAATGTTGTTTGGAAAGGCAAATCTAGGGGAACAATTCATGAAATAAACAATTAAAATTCTTTCATTTTCCTCCAGCCTCTGAAAGCAAAAACAAAAATGATACATTGCCTTGGTAGCCAAAGACAGTGTTATAAAACAAGCCAGACCCTAACCAAGAGTGTTCCGATTCATATAAATTCACTCATTCATTTATTCCTTCATTCAAGAACTATTGATTAAGTTCCTAGTCTGCGTAAAGCATTATGCTAGTAAGAGATACCAAGACATATTTAGAGATACAAAGATAAATAAGACATGGTGCCTGTTCTTATGGAGATTACAATCTAGTAGGAGGGATTAGGGTACATACACACTTATACAATAGCTATAATGTAGAATAAAATGAAAAAGAACATAAAAGAGATGCAAAGGGCTATGTGAAATCTAACAAAAAAAGATAATTTCTGACTGATGGAATGAGGGAAGGTTTCATGGAAGAGACAGCTTTTGATCTGGGCCCCAGAGGATGGTTAGGATTTTAATAAGGAGAGGTATGGATGTCAGAAGGAGTATTTAGAAGGGCACACATAACCACAAAGGTCCTAAGTCAGGAAAACAGTGATTGCATATGAGGGATGATGAGTAGATTCATTTTGTCTGGGATGTAATACAAGGTAAAGGGAATATTGTGGGATAAAGATGGGCAAGGAGCGAGACATCAGGTTATGGAGGGCCTTGAATTCTAGAAGGTTCTGGCATTATTAATCTTTTGTTTGGTGGGTAATAGGGAGCTACTTAAGAGTTTTGAGCGGAAGAATGACAGGATCAGGTTATGACTGTCCTTATGCAAAGGCTAACTTAGAATGTAGCAAGCAGAGAGGGTAACCTTCTTAAGACAGTGCTTTTTATTAGTCTGGGAAAAGATGCTGTCCATCATGGAAGGCTGGGCAGATTTCCAGGGTCTCCTGAATTGGGTTTTCTTGTGTCTTGCTTACCGCATGTGGTATTATACCACATGTGTTATAAATTGTTATGAATATCCAGCATATAAGACAAGCACCATGAGGGAATGATCTAATTGGTCATTTAGCCCTCACATGCTATATCACATGTTCTCTGTCATTTTGGGGGGATATTATTTGGAATAGGAAAGAAAAAATATTTAAGGGTTTGTTTTTCTAGCAAGAGTTTTCCCTCAGTGTCCAGTAGAATCAAAGAGAGCTCCATGTTCCACAATATCTAATGAAATCAAGCCAGTAATAAAAACAAATGCCACAAAATTCATGAGAGATGGAGCAGTGACACTTTCAATAGAGCAATCACTCAAAATGTCTATTTTCTTAATAAGTTTGCAGCACATTGCCACTTAAAAGCATGGATTAGAGTGAATTTCCTGATTGCTTAAAAAGCATTGAGGAAACATTATGCTCTTTTAGGTCAATGCTGACATGATCTTAATGAAATGACTTAAAGAGTTGATTGGTAGAATGAAGTCTATTCCTAGAGAGGCTGAGCAGGGACAAAGTGTTTAATCTTTCTCTTTCTTATTTTCATTGGGCTTCAAAATTAGGCTAGTTAGCTAGTATTTTTTTTTTACTTACTCCACAATGGTAGAGCTTAATTATTTTCTGTCTACAGGGTGCTTTAAATATCCCACAGATAGGGTCTAAGTAAAGAAATATCAAATCTACTGACTTACTTAGGTGGTTGGCAGGTGCCATTAGGACCCAGTGTGATAAGACAATCAGGAATGCATTGGTTAAACTGACAGCACCTTGAGGAAAGATTATTACTTATTTTATTGCTTTTATGTTTTATTGTAGAAGAAATAAGGAAAAAAACCCTTTACATGTTTCTTTCTCTAGCTGTCCTGCCTTCTTTTAGCCTCTCAAATAGAAAGCAGCCACAAAAGTCATGCTTGGTTTGGTGCAATGGGTTGCCATGAGCAAGAGGGCCCCAAGAAAGGGCTCCAGTATGTTGGATAGGTTCTCAGTTTAAGATTTTACAGAAGGACATGAAAAAGAAGAGGGCAGAAAGAGTGTTTGGATGGGTCCTGATCTGCCTTCTCCACATCGGGAGGTTATGGATTCATTAAAGTGTTTGGTCTGGCTGACCTACCTCTCAATGCCACACTTAAGGGCCTTGAATGTAGAAGATGATTAATAAATATTTGTTGAATGGAATTGAAATGGTCATAGGTATTATATTCCAAGGTATTTTCAGAGAGTAGTTGGCTTTGTGGTCAAGTTTTCTTAACTTTTTAGAAGTTAAATTCTTTCAGCAGGCTGCTTCAAGAACCAAAGCAATTATAGGATAAAGAATCTTGTAACTTGTATATTGATCTTGGAGCTATGTTTAGGATGTTAACCTAATATAACAAAAAATCAGAAGCATGGAAAGGAGTGAAACCAGAGGTTTTCATGTTTAGCAAGATATTTTTATAGCGGCAATAGAATGGGGCATAAAACTGATGATCCAGTTTTTAATAAAAACATCTGTTTCTGCTCCTTGGTCTTTTCATTTTATAAGAGTCTCTTTGCAACAAAAATGAGTCACAGTTATAGATGTATGATGGCAGCCAGTTTGTCTGAGTCCTCCTGGAAGATAGGACCCTTATAGTGGGAGAACAGTCAGTTGTGAAATGGAAGGAAGTTGTTGTTGTTTGTCCTTCCTTTTCAAAGAGGATCAGCGATATCATGGATGATGTCTTGACTTGCATGTGAATTGGATTTAAGTGATGCCGAGTTGCCTAAATGGAAGTAACACTGGATTTGGATCCAGAAGACCGGAGTTCAAATCCTAGCTCTGTTACTTATTACCTATGTAACCTAGTGCAAGTGACTTAACTTCTGGGGGCCTCAGTTTGAGGTGGCATGGTAGAATAGAAAGACTGCTGAATTTGGTGTCAGAGGTCCTGGCTTCGCCACTCACTAGCTGTGTGACCTTAGGAAAGTCACTTAACCTCTTGGACTTCAGATCCTCATTTCTAAATTGAGGAGGCTGCCCTAGTTGTCCTTCTCAAGCCCCTTTCATCTCTACATCTGTGATCTTAAGATTTATGAATAAACTTCAATACAACAGTCCAATCTTTAAATAACCCTATGACAGCTAGACTAGAGGCTGATAGAATGGTTGAAGATAGTGTGTGATCTAAGACAATTTTTGAGATAGGAAGCAATACATACCGGATAGCAATGGTGCTGTAGAGAAAGAGTTTCCTGGAACAATGGTTAATTTTTTATCTTCATTTAAGATTTGACTCTGTTGGTATCCTTCCTCAGTAGTCAGCATGCATATTTAATATTCTGTTTGATTTTTTCTTTATAAGGTGATTCTATCACCTTGTGATATCTTGATATCACATGATTTGATAAAAAATGGTATCTTGGATTGAGACAAGCAGGGACTGGTAACAGGAGGAGTCGTACATGAACCTGAGACAAGTTGGCAGGTGAATATCAGGCTCATTTGATGTGAGTGCAGGGAAGAAATTCGACTACACATATACTTAGCAGATGTTTATCAGGCTCCATAATGGGAGTATTGCAAAAATCTTCAAAGAAGGCTTTCTTTCCCCCCAGTCCTCCTGGATGCAATTTTTAGTGAAACATGTTGGGTTTTTTTCCCCTTTATAAAAACCTATAAAAATGTCCTAGTTGACATGCAGTGTTGTGACAAGCTATCTCAGATTGTGTCAATCATATTGCGTTATGTTACATTAAGTGACATACTGTAATGTGATTGATACAACATGGGATGACACATCATAATACAAAATATCATCTGGAAAATTTAGAAAAACAACAGAAGACTTGAAGTGCCTCAGATCCTCTGGCTCTGTGTGGAGGGAAAAAAAAGAAAGGCTCTTTCTGATGAGGCTGGCTATTTGGGAAAGGCTTCAGGTCATGTCTGTATCTCTACCTGCAGCTTTTCATGGGTAATTAACAGGTGAGGCTTTAAAAACCCTTTCCTTCCTTCAGACTGACAAGTATGGCTGAGTCTGAATTGAATTTCTCGGAACCTTTTGGCTTATCATTAATAATGAGTGTATCTGTGCCGTGCAGAGAGGGCTATGTGCATTAACTTCTCTGGGCCTAGACAAGTTTGAGGCCACAGAATTTGCCCTTCTTCCCTGCCTTTCTCTGGTTTTCAGCCTTAAACTGGTGTTCTTTTTGTCTCTTATTACTCTTCAAAAAGAAAGACCACGCATTTTGCTTTTTTTCTGAGTGAAATGGGCCTTCACCTTTATTCATTCCTTAGTTTGTGTTTACTGAAACTAGTATATTGTCAAATAGAATATGTCATCAACTACATGCTTCAGAATTTTTAAAGCAGCTGCTTGGTGCAGGGGTGGGGAACCCTCAGCCGCGGCTGCATGTGATCTTCTAGGTCCTCAGGTATGGCCTTTTAACTGAGTCCAAGTTTTACAGAACAAATCCTTTCATTTAGGGGATTTGTTCTGTGAAGTTTGGATTTAGTCAAAGGGCCGTACTTGAGGACGTAGAGGGCCACATGTGGTCTCTCAAGGCTGCAGGTTCCCCACCCTAGTGCTAGGCATTGTACTAGGCTCTAAGGATCAAAGACAAAGAAAACAGTCCCTTATCTCAAGGAGTTTACATTCTATGGATAAACAAATACAATGTAAACATATAAGAAGGATTGATCAATCAATTCTCCTCAGTCAATTTAATGAAAATATCTTTCCCTTTATAGAGTCTGAACATGCCCACTGGTGCCTTGTTAAAAAGTTAACAGAATGTTTCAACCTTTCTTTAGAAAATTCCTTTTGCTTTAGTCTGTTTTACTTGAAATGTTTTTAGAACTGTCTCAGCCCACTTTCCTACTGTAGAAGTAAGTATAGTCCAGTGAAACTAATTGAATCTTTGTTTCATGACCAAGAGTTTAGGACATTTGGCTGAAATTGTACTGACACCATGATAAACCCTAGATGTGTTTTATTGTTAGTATTTTTGTTTGATTCATATTACAGTCACACTATGACTTTTAAAAAATTATTTGCCTGTTCCTTCTAAAAGTGAAGAACAGTAATAATTTCTGATTAACTTAGGGTTCTAATTAGTTGAGTTCTAGTTATTCAAATGATCATTCAACTTGGATTTCTTCCCTATCAAATGAGATAACGTTTGTAAAGTGCCTTGCAAACCATGTTAGCTACTAGCTGCTATTTTATCTCCCTTTATATCCTAAAAATAAATACTATAGAGATTCAAAGAATGAGAGAGATAAGTGTGGGCTGGAATAAACATGGAAAAGTGTTATGGAGGAATTAATGCATCATTTGTTTCTAAGGAAGACAAAAAAGTTCTGAGGAGGAATCACAGTTATTGAATATTAGACCTTATTGACAAGCTAATCTTACCTCCACCCCCAATTTTTCAGATAAGGAAATTGATGTGTAGAGGAGGTAAATGACTTGTCCAAGATCATGCATTAACAGTAGGATGAGAAGCAAGGTCTCTTGACTCTCATACTAATATTTTTTCTACAATGTAATCATTTCCTTCCTCTCTACCCCAATACATGGTCTATGATTTTTTCCCCTCATAATCATCATTAAACTCTTCAAAGGAAATTTTACCTACATAGCAATGTTAAGTTAGGTCCTAGAGAACCAATAAGGTCTTTCTGAGTCAAGCTAGAAAATGATTCTAGTCCTCATTTCTCCAACCAAGGCAGCATGATCATAGACTCGTATTCACCATTTTCCTCTCTGTTCAATATCTTGTTGCCTCATAGAGTAATTTTATAAATCAAAATTGTCTTTTTCAATTTTCATTGTGGCCACATTGGCATTCTTTTGAATGGAGTTCAATTATGGTGATGGCATATATTACTTTGAATCATTTTACAATCCAATCAATACACATGTCTTCATAATAAATATTGATGCTACCTGAATGCTTAATACTAGTGTCTTCCATGTCCAGAAAGGATGCTGTGACTAAAGCAGCTCTGTATAGTTCATATGTATTTTGTATTCCCATAGGACTCTCACGCTCATGCTTGGTTCTCCAAGGGAAAAAAAAATAATTTGTGAAATAAAAAGACCACCCAGATAGTCCAAGAATATTTAGAAGTACCTTGTATGTCTCACCTCTTCTAAGTTCAAATAATTTGTTTCCTACTGAATTCCTATGGCTCAGATAATGTAACTTAGGTCACTGACATCTTACCTGCCTTTTGTTTTTTTAATAGAACAACCTGGAAGAGGAGAATTTTTCAGTCAAGGCAGAAGATAGAAGAAACACAGCTGCTCATAACTTCTATGAAGCTAGGGCAGCCTGGGAATGAGGAGTTGAAAAATTCTTCTCTGCCTCCCTAAATGTCTTTACATGTTTCAGCACAATTGTTACTCATTAGTTAGGATCCTATTTACATTTTATCATCTATTTGTTCATTTTCAAGTGAGGTATATTGCTTTGATTAAAGCCAACAGTGATCTTGAGTAAATGATGATGTATTTGAATTTCTGAAAACATATCTCACTTTATCGCAGGGACTCAGGCTCAATCACTTTCCTGTGCTGTCATCTGCTATTGAGGCACAGAGTCTCACAACTAATTCTTAAACTTTACAATAAAAATATAATTAGAATCCTACTTTATCAATTACATTACATACACACCAATATACACATAAATATGTACATACATATAAATAGGGAGGGTTGTTTCAGGATCTAGGACCACAATAATTAGCATCACAACCATTTATTAAACATATAATGTGTTAGGGGAATTGTGCTAGAGAGGCAAAGACAAAAGCAGAAGGAAAAAGTCTCTGCTCTCAATGATACTACGTTTCTTTGGAAGTGAAACATTTAACCAAACAAGTAAATACAAGTAAATTTCAGAAGGAAGAGGGTGCCAACAATTATCATGAAAGACTTTCCAAGAAGGTGGCACTCAAACTAAGCATTAAAGGAAAATATGTGTTCTGTGAGGCAGATGTCAAAAAAGAGTGTATTCCAGGCATGGAGAATCACCTATGCAAAGGCAAGGGGGCTGGTCTGGAATGTTGATTACAGAGAAGAGCAAGAAATCTAGTCTGGCTGAAAAGGAGAGTGCACAAAGGGAAGTCATGTAGAATAAGTCCAGAAAGATAAGCAACAGCCTGGCTGTGAAATGACAACCTGAGAAGTTTGGTTTTTAGCTTAGAGGCAATGAAGAGTTAAGGAAGATTCCTAAACAGGAGAGTGACATGGCCATTAGAAATGTGTTTTAAGAAGATTATTTGGAGTGTGGGGGAATCTATTGGGAAGAGGCAAACCCTGAGGCAGGGAACCCAGTTAGAAGGCTATTGCAATAGCTTATGTGAGAAGTGATGATGGCCTGAAGTAGCATGGAAGCCACATGAGTGGAGAGAAGGGAACAGAGGAGAGAGCCCATTGGTAAATTTTCAGTATGAACATTCACACTTCAGAAATCAGCACTGACTATAAATCAGAGCTTGAGTTATTTTCTTGATTGTCTAGAATTAAGAAAGGGTTAACAGCGAAAACTAAAAACGAAAAGTGTGAGTGTATATTTTTTTCCTTAGATAGTCCAGTTGTTAAACATTATCAGAACACACCTGTGTATGTATGTATGTATGCATGTATGTGTGTGTATGTATATATATTATAATGTGTATATACATATATATGTATACATATATATGTGTGTATATGAATGGAATGAAGTGATTGCCAGACTAGAGGTCTAGTGACTCTATGCTAATAACGATAATGATACTGGTGATGATAATGATGATGATATTTGGCATTTAAGTAATGCTTTAAGTTTTACAAAGTTCTTTATATTCATTATCTCATTTTAGCTTCACAGCACCCCTGGCTGTTCTGGAGTTAGAGTTATGAGACCTCGTAGCTGATAGTATATGGATGGTGATGTGGGGCATTGAAGGTGTGGGAGGGAGAAGAGTTCACTGTAAGTCTGATATTATGAACCTGTATTAGTGGAAGGATGGTAGTGCCCTCAACAGAAATAGGCAAATGAACAGGTTTAGCACTGAGATAATCAAGTCCTGTTTTGGAAATGCTGAATTTGAGATAATTATTGGATAGTTAGAGATGTTCATCAGGCAGTTAGTGAGGCACAACTGGAAAAGAAAAAAGCTCTTGTCAATGAATTTGGTTCTGCCTTTGCAAAACATCTTCTCCTTTCAATTTGGTAAATTATGACTCATCTCAATGCTAGTTTGTGATATTGCTATAATCAAATGGTTGAATTTTTGGCTACTTTTCAGAGTGGAGTTGTGACAGGCAGAGTGACCATGACCTTGCTGATTGGTTTAAAGAAGAAAAAAGTCAGAGCCCCTCCCTCATTGGTGAGTGTCAGAGTCATGATGTTTCTGAGGAAGTATAGAGTTCATACGGAGAACTACACTTGAAATATTAGTCATGTTTTTTCCTGGACTCATATTGTAGTTTCTCATATCTCAGTCTTGTTTCTTTTAAATCCCGGTCCAGCTTTGGAGTAAACTAGTTTTGTGACTGCCATATATGGCAGTTTCACTTTAGTCTGATTCTGCGACTTCATGGTACAGAGCAGAGGTGGCCCACAATGTTCCAGAAAATGTAATTGGGAAATAATTAACAAAATAAAAATACAACACAACATTTATAATGTTAATATGTAGTTTTCTAAGTCAATATGCACCCTTAGGGACCATTATGTATTATCTAATGGCCACCAAATATTCCTTATATGGAAACTTTCTTCATTGATGCAGATTGATGAAGGTTACCAACCCATGAGTATCTTCTAGCCTTAGAGCACTGCTTAGGAGCCCTAAGAGGCTAAACAGCTGGCCTGCAGTCAAAAGCCTGGGTCTTCCTGACTGTGCCACACTGCTTCTCACACTTTCTCTTGTGATTTCACTTCGCCCCAGAGACATAAATAAACATTGCTTAGTGTCAGAGCCTTTTATGAACCAAACTAGAACCCCCTGTTCTCAGTGAAGGATTCTGTGTCATTTTATTTACGTACAAACATTTGTATTTGTAACTGAATATCATGAGGCACAGACTGAGGGAAAGTGGAAGAAAAGGGGGCTGCGTTTGAGGGAATGTGTATCGCATGCTGGAACATTATCAATTCCAGGATCAGTAATCTGTTCTGAGAAAATTACATTGCATCTGTCAATAGACACAATAATTCAGTGCCTGCGATTTGATAATGGATAATCACACAAATTCAGGAAGCTGGACCATATGTGATTCGAGTTTTCTATTCCCTTATTCACCTTAATTTTCTAGATGAGCAAAATTATCTAGTCCTGGAAACAGAGAAGTATAAATAGAAATAGAGGATGTCGGAGCTTAATCTTCCTGTGATATTCCTCACTGGACAGACAGGCATCATGCCATGTTTAATAAATGACCCTGGAATGGAAGAGAAAAGGGGTATATTTGGAGAGAGTCATAGTCCTGGGGGATGAGAGTAATTAAAGTAATTAAAGGGCTTTAAAATATGATGGAAGAAAAAGCTGAGGAAATTGGGCATTCTTGAATTAGGAGAAGAGAACGCCATGGATGTGCTTTAAAAAGAGGATTAAAATATGTGGAAAATATTGTGTTTGCAGGTATAATTGAAAGAGAGTGAGAATGAGAGAGTGGGAATGTGTATGTGTGTGCAAGAGAGAGAGAGGAGAGAGAGAGAGAGAGAGAGAGAGAGAGAGAGAGAGAGAGAGAGAGAGAGAGAGAGAGAGAGAGAGAGAGAAGCTTTATTTTATAGCAATAGGAACTTAGGTAATAGATCAGGAAATTCTAGTTCTAATTGGATATGGAGATGGTAACATATCAAGAAATTCTTTCTGATTCTAAAAGTTCTGGGGCATGAATATAAGTAAACTAGTGCTCCCATCTTGAACACCACCTTCCCATGTTATATTGTTGCTTTTAATTTTTAAATCATCGCCATTTCTGAATAGCCTCATAAGCTTAGATGTTAACCCTCCCTTGTAACAAAGAAAAACTATTCATTAGAAATAATTGATACAGTGGCTGAGGTTGACAACATACACATCATTCTGTCAGTAGTCAAGAAGAGGGATGCATGTTTCATTATTGGTTTTATGGTCACCACATTTATTCAAAGTTCAGTTTTCTGTTTTTTTAAATTTTTTCTGTTTTTAAAATTTAAATTATAGTTATTATATACATTGTTCTTTTGTATATGTATACACAACAATTTATACACATATAAATCTTATTTTTATACACATATAAATCTTCTTAGCAAAATATTTAATTGTAAAAAAGTATTCCATTATTGCCACATGCCACAATTTGTTTAGGTGTTTCTCCGTGTTCACTCAAAAGTGCTGTTGTTTCTCTCTCTCTCTCTCTCTCTCTCTCACTCTCTCTCTCTCTCTCTCTGCATTATATGCCATTTTTTCTTTTTTTTTAACATCTTTTGGGGTATGTGCTTTTTTTTTTTACCATTTTTAAGAATAAGGTTATTGATTAGTTGGTTAAATTGGTTCAGGGACAGTTTTGCAAGGAAATATGGAATAGTCTAGGATATTTGTCAAAGACCCTTTAGCCATATTATTCTGTGATACCATTTCCATTTTTATTAGAAATATTTCTTTAATTTGACTATTATGTGATTTCTCCAGAGATCATACCAAGGGAGATAAGTATTGACTGCTATAGAATGATAGTATTGATTGTTGACATTCAAAGATGGGTAGAGATGTAAAGAGTCAGTGGTATATAATACCATAGTCATATTTGGTTTTGAAAAGCATTTTTTTTTGTATAGAGTCTTTGTATAGAGTTGGTTCACATTTCAGGAATTTGAAACACTTCATATTAAATAGTTATATCATACTGTGAACATCAGGAAAGTTGTCTAACGTCCTTATCTCTGATCCTTGCTCAGATTCATACCTGATACAAGGCATTCAGCTAAGCCAGGGGTAGAGAACCTGTGGCCTTTCAGTCAAAGGGCCACACTTGAGGACCTAGAGGGCCACATGTGGCCTCAAGGCCGCAGGTTCCCCACCCCTGAGCTAAGCTGAGCTATCCTCTTCCCTTTAAACTTTTTTCTTCTAGTTTATGTTTTTCTTGGAATAAGGGTGGGCAAGAAGGGGAGGTGATTCAGTGTTTTGGTTTATTGCTAGGAGTATAGAAGAAATAGTAAAATTTCTCACTTTCTCTCCTTTTAGTCAATACTCCAGTGTGCTTCAATGGGAGTACTCTCTTCGCCAGTACACATCACAATTCAGCCACACTTTCTCATCCTGAATGATTCTTGTCTATGCCCTTTTATAAATTTTTCACTGAAGATCTACCCTCTGTGTCAAAGGCCTTGCTTTTAATATTTCCATTTAGTTCTTTTAGTATTTTATGGATTATCAGGACAATGCAAGGGCTATTCATCTTATTGGCATAATTATCTATTGATAATTAATTAACAGATAGATCATCATG